TTTTTGTTATGTGATTTGTGCACTTGTTCAACCACATTAGCCTTGGACTCAATGAGATTTTTACCGTTCCTCTTTTCAGCCTTTCGGTTATCTTCCTTAATTCTCAATCTTACAATCAATTCATCCATGGTCATCTCCTTACGTTTATGTTTTAAATAATTTTTGAAATTTTTCTAAGCCGGTGGTAACTTTTTTACTAAAGCAGTGACTTGGAAAGACTCGCTAAGAGATATACCTTTAGAATGAATATCATGCAAAATTATTTGAAAATTTTGAACTTGAGAAATTACCGTTTGGGAGTCTACCATAACGAAGTCCAGAAATTTACCGACAACAAATTTCTTCGTGTGGGCATCCTCTGTCTTGTATTTTTTTCTCCAAAGAATCCCATAATGCTTTTGCTATTTTTCAGAGGGCTATAAACATTACACAACATGTTGTCAAGGCCATTGAGGATGTAGTTTCTACACAGGAAATCAGAATGTTTCCAAGCTTCTACAATGGCAACAACTTGCCGATCACTTTCGTCCTCTCTAAATACTGGAGTTTCTTCATGGTGAAACTGGGCCAAATTTAGAGTTATAAGATAAAATAACATTTTCTGCTGTCATCTCCTAAACTCAGTACTGTTAAATTTTTTCGGATTTTCTCCATAATTTATTGAAACTTGAACATGGTTCTGGATAAGCCTCATTGTAAGTTGTGAACATCTTCTTGTCCGCACATATGTGACAAGTTGCCCCAGTGTCAACCCACCATTCCTTGGAATTTCGAACCAAATTAGCCTCAGATACCACAACAAAGAGATTGGTGTCATTTATCCCGTCAGAGATGTAATCTTATTCTGTCACATTGGCCTGATTGGTGATTTTCTTGCTTGTACTTCCGCGATCTTTCTTAGGGCAACGACAATCAAAAGCTCGATGTCTGGCCTTGCCACAATTATAGCATTTACCTTTGAACTTTTTATTACCATTGTTATCGCCTTGTTTAGGACCATCTCTAGTAAACTTCCTCTTTTTGTTATGTGGTTTGTGCACTTGTTCAACCACATTAGCCTTGGACTCAATGAGATTTTTACCGTTCCTCATTTCAGTATTTCGGTTATCTTCCTTAATTCTCAATCTTACAATCAATTCATCCATAATCATCTCCTTACGTTTATGTTTTACATAATTTTTGAAATTTTTCTAAGCCGGTGGTAACTTTTTTACTAAAGCAGCAACTTGGAAAGACTCGCCAAGAGATATACCTTTAGAATGAACATCATGCAAAATTATTTGAAAATTTTGAACTTGAGAAATTACCGTTTGGGAGTTTACCATAACGTCCAGAAATTTACCGACTACAAATTTCTTCGTGTCGGCATCCTCTGTCTTGTATTTTTTTCTCCAAAGAATCCCATAATGCTTTTGCTATTTTTCAGAGGGCTGTAAACATTACACAACATGTTGTCAAGGCCATTGAGGATGTAGTTTCTACACAGGAAATCAGAATGTTTCCAAGCTTCTACAGTGGCAACAACTTGCTGATCACTTTCGTCCTCTCTAAATACTGGAGCCTCTTCATGGTGAAACCGGGCCAAATTTAGAGTTATAAGATAAAACAACATTTTCTGCTGCCATCTCCTAAACTCAGTACCGTTAAATTTTTCTGGATTTTCTCCATGATTTATTGGAACTTGAACATGGTTCTGGATAGGGAAGGGAGTCAATGTAACAATTGGAGTACCATTTCCAGTTGCAGTTTCAATTGCAGTAGCCATAATATCTTATTACAAAAATCAAAAAATCAAAACACAAATTAATTTTTTAGTTACTAAAACCAGAAAATAAATTATAACACAAATAATTTTATTTTCCTTGTTACTAAAACTAGAAAAATAAAATACCATAATAATTTTTCTATAACACAAATTAATATTCTGCAATTGTTAAGGACACCAATATATTACTACTAGTTGTCAAAGAAAATAAACAGTATATTACTACTATTTGTATTTTTCAACCAAAATATCACTTTGTGAAAACACAGAAAATTAAATACAATGAAGACACCAAAAAATATTCTGTCTTAAGATTGTTGGACAATCTTCACTGTATTTAATGAAATAAATTTTGTTTGTGTATTAAACAACAAACAGAATACAAAAGAAATATAAGAAATGAGAGAGATTGTTTGATTACAAAAATCAAACCAATAAATAAAAATAGATTTTTATTTTGTTACAAAAATAAAATCAAAATCTGATTTAAATAAATAATAAAACAGAAAATAAATTAACAACTTACTTGATTAATTTCTTGAACAAACTTTTGATCAAGTCTAGTGTTTAACACTGTATCCTTACGAAAGATTCGTCCTCTCCACGATGCTTTCAGATTGTGGACGTCTATCTCCCAAGATAAAATGATCAATCAACGAAAAATTGTAGCACTAAAAATTTCGTACAACAACATACTGAGTGTATAGCCACTCTTTCTCACAATAGAATTAATGCACCAAAATGCAGAGATGAATTGCAACAGACAAGAACGAAAATTGGATGAAAACATCAAATGAGGGTTGCTTATTTATAGATGGAGTGGTGGCTGTATAGATTTGAATGAACATGTATGATACCTGTTCGGACAGATCTAGTTTGAATTTCAAACAGATAAACTGTTTTGTGTTTGAACAAATTCAGATCTGTTCAGATTTGAATTTCAATTGTACAGAATATGAACTGGATAGATTTGAATTAAACTGTACAGAGTTTGAAGAGGTGCAAACAGATTTGAATTCAAAAAATGAAGACATATTTTACTTTACTAAAAATAAAATTAAATTCAAATGTTTTTTGTCAAAAAATATAGGTATTGGGCCAGACAAGCCCAACCTCACACCCGCGCCCAAGCACGACAGATCGGTGGCGCTCGCATGGTGATTTTTGGATCCAATGGGTTTAGTCCATTTTGCCCATAACCTCCCTCTCTACAAAACTTGGGTGCCCCTTGGGGCCTACTGCAAGTTCCAATCCAATGCCTTATAAACCCACTAAAAACTTGTCCACCAAATCAATGTAGGACAAGCCTTAAACCAAACCTTTATACTGTGTTTGGTTGGGGGATTTGATGAGGGATTTGGAAAGGGAAATGAAAAAGGTAGGTAAAATGTGAATAAAACATACCTATATTTCACCTAGTTTCACACACTTTTTCCCTTTTCTTTTCCATTCTCTCTCCAAATCCCCTAACCAAACATAGCGTTAGGAAATTTCATCAAAAACACCATTTCCTTATAGCTCTCTTTGGCTTCAATTTTCCATTCACCCGATAATGGTTTTGAACCACGTGAATCACAACGCGGCATAGAACGCGTTACTACTTAGACCTGTGAAATTCGACACATGTGTCCCATCTAAAAATTAGACCAAAATTTTAAAAAAATATGGCTCTATTTGGTTGTTAATTCAAATAAATTTTCAACACGTGAGCTCGCGCATGACGTTTGGATACGACGTTCAAAAATTGATTCCGCGTGTTAATTCAAATTACATTTTAAAAATCTGTTTGGCAACTTGTATCTCCCTTGCAACGTTTCTGCCTTCTTCATCGTCTCTGCAGCTGTCACGTGAAGCTCATCTACATCAGTCCTTCAGATTCATCACGGGTGGCTTCTCTGTATCAAATATCCGTACTTTAAATTCATCACGGGTGGGTTTCAGACTCATTTTATAAATAACGAATCCACCCAATCCGCTCTGTACTGGTATCATATTTCACAAATCGACTGAGTTACGATTTGTGCGTTGCGGACGATTCTTATTACGGGCAACCAAACAACGACGACTGCGAGGTGAAATTACTCACAAATTTATTTACATATTTTGTTATAGGAAAATTATTTGAGAAATTCATCTTAATTTATTTTTAATTGTTTTCAGGTCAAATTTATCAAATTTATTGTCAAATCCGACGAGCAAATAGTGACACATTCAATCAGTATACACATTCCGTCACCGGCGATAACTATTCAACTCCCACTGATCTGGTAAATAAATCCTTCATCCTTCATCTGTTATCTGAAAATGATTTTATCTGTTATCTGAAAATGATTTTGGACGAGTCGATAAACGATTGTTTCAATTTTTTTGTTCTTCAAGAATAGTCAGTAAATCAATCTTCATCTGTTATGTATAAATGATTTCGAAGAAGTTAAAATCAGTTCCTAAATGGAGTATGAGAATTTGTAGAGGCGTATTTTCCATTTCAGATCGGTTGTTCTTTTAAATTATGAACTGTTTGAACCTTTGAACCTGAAGCGGCGGTGCCTGGGACACCCGGCCGATCGTTCCCCGGGTCATCTGGCCGGTCAACCACCCGGTCTTCCCACCTTGTCTTCCAGTTTTCCATTTCTTCGTTAATGGTTTGAACTGTTTGAACCTTTCATCAATCAGTTAATGGTTTGAACTGTGCAGTGCCTGGGACACCCAGCCGGTCATCACCCGGGTCATCCGGTCGGTCGACCGGCCGATCAACCACCCGGTCCGCCCACCTCTTCCGGTTTTGTCTTCCGATTTTCCATTTCTTCGTTAAAACCTACCGGTCTGTTTGAACCTACTGGGCTTTTTTACTGATTTTTTTTCCTTAATTTTTCTTTTACTGATTTGTTTCCTCCTATTTAACCACAATGTTAACTGATTTTTTTTTTTATTTGTGGTTATATGTTACTGATTTGTTTCCTCCTATATAAACACAATTTTTTTTTATTTGTGGTTATATTTCTGTTATCTGAATTTTTTTTTTTTGGTTATATTTCTGCTATTTAAATTCAATTAATCTGCTACGTATTTTTTTCCTCAAAATAAAATCATCTGTTCTTTCTCCTTTATCTGTGTTCTCCTTCAAACCATTTTGATGCAGTTATTCTTGTATATCCATCGCAGACTACTTTAAAATACTCTGGTATGCTTGTATATCCATCCCAAACTAGTTTAAATATAATTTGTATGTTTATAGATGGATGGAAATAATTCCGATGACAATGAGAACACCAAAATGTGGATGCCCAGAATTGAAACGAAATTAATAAATATGTTGAGAGATGAGGTTAGAAATAATCAAACAACGGGCCGCACTACTTCGTGGACAATTAGGCATTGGAATCATTATGCAAATCAGTTGCCCAACATATATGGATTTCGGTATACAGGTGTCAAGGTGCGCCAAAAATATCAACGATTGAAAGCTGATTACCAGACATTTAAGCGACTGCAGGCACAGACTGGTCTGGGATGGGATCCTATTATAGGCACTGTTGTTGCACCCGATGAATTTTGGGATAAGGTTTTCCATTAATCTGTATTATTTTCTTATTTTATTTTAAACATTTCATGATATATACAGTGCTAAATTCTTGTTTTGTAATTGTTGTAGGCTAGCAGAAATGTGAAGAAGTTTAGGACAAAAGGGTTTGAATATTTTCAAGAAATGGCAGAAATTGTTGAAAATTGTTGTGCCACAGGGGCCCTGTCTCGTGCATCCGCACAAGGACCCCTTGACTCAGAAGAAGAAGATGACATGTTAAATAAATTTTGGAACGCTGATGCTGGTGGAAGTAACGCTGGTGGCAGTAATGCTGCTGAGGCCATTCCTGTTGACTTATTTGGGGATGAGTATATGGAACCAGCAAAGGGCAAAGGTCACAAGAGGGGCCCTGCAACCAGCCAGACTGACAGTGGTTGTTCCAAAAAGTCACAATCAAGTGGGTTTGATGATGTGTATGCAGCTTTCACATCCTATGTACAAGCCAAAACAGGACATTTACGTGCACGAGAAAATGAGACTGAGGCTGTAAGTGCAGGTGGTAATGATTATTCCCTTGATGCATGTCAAGATGCATTGCTTGAGCTTGGGGACATACCACCGTTGCAGTACGTTAGGGCACTGACACTGTTCAAGGATAAGGAATAGCGAAGGTTTTTTATGCGCACTCCTACCCATTTGCACCTAGCCATGATCCTCGCTTTGCAGTGAACTGAGAAGTTTTGTGTTACTTGTGTTAGCAAATATTCTTCGCTGAACTGCTTGATGATTTCATTATTCCTGATTTGGTTTTTCTTTTTCTTTTTTTCATTCCATCATATCCTCTTTCATTTTCTATGTTCGTATGTTTTTTTTTTTTTTTTTAACTTTTAAGTGTTTTCTGTTATATTAAAACTATGTTCTGTTATTATAATATGACCATGTGTTAAATAAATTTTGTTCTCTTCTGAATTTTACTGTTTCACCAATAACGCTAACTATTACAGCATGAACAACATATTTTATAATTATGCTTTTACTGTGATGTAGACAAAGGCATATGTCATCCGATAGAGAAAACAATACAATGGAGCTCTCATCAGAGGAGGATGAGGTCGTTGATGATTTTATGGATTTTTTGATGATTGCTTTAATGCATGACCATATCAACGCGTCAAGTAATTGCCAACCACAGCGAACGTGCCCATTCAGAGGTGATGATTACATCTTCGGCCTATTAAATGGCCATCCAGAAACAATGATGAACGTTATGCGAATGGATGCACAAACATTCATTTTATTGAAAGACATTTTACTCCATAATGACTTTATCGATACTAAACACATGCATATCAGTGTAGAGGAATCGCTTAGAATTTTTTTATACACTTTTGCACAAAATGATTGCCATCGAATAATGGCAGATAGATTTCAACACTCCACGGAAACAATTTGTCGGCATATAAAAATTGTTATGCTGGCATTGTGCAAGCTTTCATCATCGGTTATCAAACCACGTAACCTAGAGGACATACAAGGAAAAATTTTAAATGATAGGAGGCTTTTTCCCTGGTTCAAGGTACGAATAGTATGACTATCCTGTAAGTTTGTTCATATCAATAAGTGTTAATAAATATTATTTTTTTTTATTATGAAAGTAATATCGAAGTTTGTTTCGCTTTTAATATCAAACAAATATCTGTCAATTAGGATTGTGTCGGTGCTATCGATGGCACATTGGTGGATGCATGGGTCCCTGCTTCAAGACAAAATACATTCCGCGGTCGGAAAACAACAGTATCGCAAAATGTACTCGCAGCTTGCGACTTCGATATGTTGTTCACATTTATTAATTCTGGATGGGAAGGTAGCGCTCACGACAACGCTATTCTACTTGACTCTATTACACGAGCTGATCTACAGTTCCCACACCCACCCAATGGTGACTGTCCCTGAACAACATACTGTATATTTTTTTCCTTGGCTGTTTTTATATATATTAATTGACAGAACTGTGTATTCATTATTTACATGTAGGCAAGTACTATTTAGTTGATGCTGGTTTCACGAACATGCCTGGATTTCTTGCTCCATTTCGGTCTCAACGATATCACTTGCAAGAGTTTCGTGGCCATCGTTATGCAGGACCTAAGGAATTGTTTAACCATCGACATTCGTCATTACGCAACGTCATAGAAAGAACATTTGGTGTTTTGAAGAAGCGCTTCCCAATATTGCGGTCCAAGCCAAATTACAAGTCTACACGACAAGGGCCTCTCGTGATTGCATGTTGTGTCGTGCACAATTGGATCCGTTTGCATGCAGCTATGGA